GGAGGACCCAGGAGATGATTTGCTTGAGTCCTGGCTGGAGCCTTGGGTGGCTCACAGATCCTGGTAGAACCCTATTTCCAGGCCAGCCTTCCTGCCACTGTCTCAGAGGTGACTGCCACCATATGTACTGGGCAGTTTGTGTCCTGATGCAGTGGATGAGTCTGTAAGTAACTTTTGTCTGGAGCTAGGGGGTCAGATTGAGTGGGATGGAAACACCTGGCAGCAGACCCATTTTCTTTGAAAACAAACATTGAATGCCACTTAACACAAATTGTTTCTGATCTTTGCTCTTGGCAGACTTTGGATAGCTTTTTTGACCTTGGCGTTGTGTTTTTAGTGGAGACACAGTAATCTCCTGAATTGTTGCTGCATGTTGTGGGTCCCAGCATGACACCACTGCTTTTTAATTAAGGCTTTCAACAGTATTGTTTGTGGTGCAGCTTGAAGCATTTTGGCATCTTTTGTTTTACTGGTTCTTTCTTTTTCTTTGCTCCTTCTTTTGTTTCCTTTCGCTTAAACACCAGTGGAGGTTTCTCTTTCACTCCTGGTTTTAGTTGGTTCAGTTAATAACTTGCAAGGATGTAGAATAGACCTTGTTATACATAAGAGGATCAGTGTCTATATTACATTATTTTCAAACCCAAGAAGGTGTAGAAGGTGCCCAGGCCACGTGGATTTTCCCACGTCTGTTCATCACTGTGACCCAGGCCTTGCTGGTGTCCCATCTTTCCCATGGTGCAATTCAGGACGGGCAAGCCCCTGGGCTCTACCTCCCTTCCTGGCCTTCACCTCCCTTCCTGGCTTTCTCAGGAACAGATTGAGTTCCCATTTGACACAGCAGCTTGCTCAGGAATGTTAAGTGGAGTTTTTGTGGGCATAGAACATTGGATAATCCAAACAAAAACTGCCGTCTACCTAGGAGGGAAAAGGAGGAAACTTATCCTTACTCCTATGGTTTTCATATATGTTGTGCTAAAAATTTATTGGCCAGTGCGGTTCTTAATTGCCTTCTTTTCTAGGCCTAGAGTTGATTATTCAAATCTTGTGCTAGTGATGAGGCAGTTGCAAGGTGTTCAGTTGTGGGCTTCTCATTTGTTTTATTCATGTGATTTGCTTATTTTAATTACCTTTTTAATATATGAAACTGGGCCCTGTTTTATTAACTCAGCAAGTGTCTGTTGAGGGCCTACTCTGTATATATACCAGGGACTCTTCTGGGCTCCAGGTTATGTCAGTGACCCCAGCAGGGAAGGGCTTTGATCTAATGGAGCTTGCATGCCATTGAGGGTGACAGTAAGCAAATGCAGGTCACATGGCCACAGTGAAATGAAGAACAAGGCAGAGCGGTCAGGGAAGGCTTCTGGATAGGTGGGTAAGGTGTGGGAGGGGAACCATATGCAGCAAGCAAGGGGAGGAAGGGACAAGACGTGAGGGCATGGGGTCTGACCCACCCAGAGTTGGGTGGGAGCCTCTGGGGAGTTGGGAGCAGAGGAAGGACGGCACTCAGGGGACCTTATAAAGGAAGGGGCTGTGCCTGAGGGCAGGAGGGATGGCCCTTTTGTATCATTGAACACCACCTGCAGATCTTGCTGTTTAGAAACTCAACTCTGGTTCCTGGGTGCAAACAGACTAGGTGGGAACCTGAGAGAAGGACTGGGCAGGAGGTGTTGGGACATGCCTGGGGCATCTCCTCTCTGTGGTGGGGCTGTCCATGCGCAGTGGGGTGTAACAAAGAAAAATGGTAAACAATAGGATATATTGGAGTAGATGAGGAAGCCATTTGGTGTAAACCTAATTCAGCCTGACTTTGTTTTTCCGAAAGGGCCTGACATGGCTGTTGAGCATGCGTTGTACATCTGCTTTAAGCATTTGCTATGTCCCAAAGACAAGAACAGATGGCCTTAAGATAAAGGTGCAACTTCCCCCACATTGGCATTTCCTTAAGGGTAAGCATTTTTGTCTAGGCTAGGAACTGATTGCTGCACTCACCTGTGACCACCCAGCTCCAGACAGCAGACCTGCCACCCGATGTGTCCATCAGTCGCTGTGCCAACAGAGCAGTCTTGTGACTGTTGCAAAAGGGACATTCAGTAAGCTGTCAAACATGTTCTTTGAGGGTATATAACCACTCTGTACACCCCACTTCTTTGGTGCCCTTCCTTCCTCGGGGAGGGAAGGCCCCAGGCTATATGGTCCTCATATTTGACTCAGAATAAACCCACCCCAATTTTCATTTATAGATTGGTTATGGATATTTTGTCGACAGGTGTTGGTGTCATCCCTGCCTGGCCTCCACCCACTTGATGCCAGTGTGTCTCCAGACACTGCCCAGTGTCCCTGGGGGCTGAGAACCACTGCGGAGGAGCAGACTGAGGTGGAGGTGTGGGAACTAGTGGTTTGGGACTATAGAGAATAATGGGTTTTCCCACTGTTTTCTGCATGCATTGGGTTTTGGTGTGTCTTTGTCATTCTGTGACATGTTGTCACATGTACAGGTCTGTGCAACCGTATTATGGTAAACATGCAGACATGTACATGTGACAACATGTCACAGAACCATATTATGGTAGAGATTGATGGTAGAGATCCATCATACAGAGGACTCCCTGGGGCAGCCTCTTTGGGGCCACACACCCTTCCCCCAACCCCTGACCACCACCTGGCTGCTCTCCAAGTCTGTGATTGTCATTTCAAGGATGTTATGTAAATGGGATCATACAGGATGTAACTTTTGGGGACTGGCTCTTTTCATTCAGGACGATACCCTGTAAAGTGGTTGTTGTATCACTAGTTCGTTCCCCTTTTCTGCTGAGTTATGTTCCCACATGTGGATGAACCACAGTTTGTTAGCTGTTCTCTCGTTGAAGGATATTGGATTGATTTCCAGTGTTTGCCTGTTATGAATAAAGCTGCTTCAAACACTCGTGTGCAGGTTTCTGTGTGAATGTAGGTGTTCATTTCTCCTGGGTAAATACCCAGGAATGCAGTTGTTTGGTTGTATGATACGTGTATGTTTAACTTATGAGAAACTGCCAAACTGATTTCCTGGTGACTGTATAGTTTTACCTTCCCACTAGCACTGTGAGAGAGATGTATTTCTCTACATCCTCACGATTGCTTGGTGTTGTCAGTCTTTTAAATTTTACCCATTTTAATAGATATTTAGTGGTGTCTCATGGCAGCTTTAATTGTGTTGCCCTAACGACTAGTGATGTGGAATGTCTTTTTTTATGTGTTTACTTGCCATCTGTATATTCTTGGTGAAGTATTTTTCAAGTCTTTTGCCCATTTTCTAAGTGGATTGTTTGTTTTCTTACTTTTGTCTTTAGTTAGATCTTCTTTACAGTCTGGATACGACTTCTTTGTGGGATTTGTGATTTGTAAAAGTTTTCTCCTAGAAGGTAAACAAGGTGAGAAGGTGGCTTGTCTTTTCAGTATCTTAGTAGGGTGTCTGGCAGAGCGGATGTTTTCAGTTCTGATTATGGGCGTGTTTTGAAGGTGAGAGCTGATGATACCAGCAGGTAGATGGGACGAGTATTGGTTTCTGGCCTGAGCACCTGGATGATGCCACTCACTGCCAGACAGGGTGCTAGGGAGGAGCCAGTACCAGGTCTAGGCCCGTGCACAGGGAGGCATGGAGAAAGCAGTGGGAGATGTGTTCCAGAGTACAGGAAATGTGGATTTTGGAGTCATTCAGGTGTGTCTGGAATTGAAGGTCACAGTCCTGGATGAGCTTGTCCAGGGAGTGAATGAGGATGGAGAAGCCCAGAAGCTGTAATCTCAGCCTGGGACATTGGGTGTTGGGAGTGTAAAGGAGGAGAGTTCAGTATAGGATTGAGAAGGAGCCCCTAGAGGTGGAACAGGGAAGGGTGTGGGTGCCGGACCTCAGGAAGGAGGTGGTGGCTTGTCAGGTTCTGCTCTGTCCACTGAGACTGTGGAGGACTAACTGGCTGTGCCTTACAGGGAAGTAAAGGGGCAGGGAACCTGCTGGCAGTGCATTCAAAGGAGAGAGAGTGGGGGAGCAGGGATGCCAGGCAGCCAGTGTTAAAACCCTGCCGAGTGGCATCCTTTCTTGCCCCAGTTAAAGTGTTAGGAAATATCACCTTAAAGATGTTACTGGAACTGGGAGGAACGTGTTACCTCCACGTGCTGGACCCTTCATTCGTGGGCACCTAAGGAGGACAGAGCTGACCACTGTATGGGTGTTCCAGAGTGGCCACACTGAGGTCAGCTGAGCACCATGGCAGGTTGTTTGGCCCTTTATATATACACAAATCAGGAAGTGTTTAACTGGGTGTGAAATTTCAACTCAGAGACCATGAGTCTACAGAGCTTTTTTTAAAATTTTACTCTTTGAAGGTGTTTGCCTTGCAGTACTTTTTTTTTTTTTAATAAATATACTTAAGTCATGTCAAACAAGCTACATTAAAGGTGAACCAGAGTGTTAAATTCTAAATCTTTTCCCCTGACATTTATTATCTCTGGCTCTTGTTTGCTCAGTGAATAAGGTGATAGGATTTTTGTAAAAGAAAAGGAATGATTTTTCTTTCTTAAATAAGAAATAGCTGCAAAATTGTCTGCTGCTTACTGACTCAGATATATTTATATATTTATTTTGAAAGGAATGATGCATACTAAGTGGTTTTAAATCTACTGTATGACCTAAAACATATTTGTATAATTATTTTAAAAGGAGTAATGCACATTAAGTGGTATTTGAATCTTTTTTGAGTCTACTGTACTTTTGTTTTCTTATTTGGCTGGTCTAAGTATTTTTGTTTACTAATATTTTAAAGTCATAAAATGCCACGTTTGTGGTTTCATTCATTAAGCGACTCGTAACGTGAGATGAGCTTAAAGTGGACTTCTGGAGGACTCTTCCACACAAGACAAGGCTTCAGTGCATCTGGGGACACGAGGGCTCTGCTTCCTGCTCTAGGTGGGACACCTAGTCCTCTGGTCCAGAAGATGGGCACTGACAGTTGACTTTTCTTTTGCAGGTGCACGTTCAGGTTCCCGAGCACAAACATCAAGATAACGTTCACTGCCCTGTCCAGCGAGAAGAGGGAGAAGCAGGAGGCACCCGAGTCCCCGGTGAAGCCCGTGCAGGCTCACATCTCGCCCCTGACCATCAACATTCCAGACACCATGGCCCACCTCATCAGCCCCCTCCCCTCCCCCACGGGAACCATCAGGTATGGCAGCTTCTGTGGTGGGTGGGAGTCACTGTGGGGTTGGGGGACATGCATGCTGTGATGTACATGACCATGTCCAAATTTCAGCCATTCTGCCTGGGTACTTTTAGAAGTCGTCATAAGTAACAGTGACAGTCAGGAGCACACAGCAGCGCCTTCTCCATTCTCTGGGGCTGGATGTACTTGGAGAAGGAGACACTGAGGGCACTTAAAATACCATTTAGGGGGCCGACCCCGTGGCCGAGTGGTTAAGTTCGTGTGCTTCGCTTGGGTGGCCCAGGGTTTCCCTGGTTCAGATCCTGGGCGCGGACATGGCACCACTTATTAGGCCATGCTGAGGCGGCATCCCACATGCCACAACTAGAAGGACCCACAACTAAAATATACAACTATGTACTAGGGGGGTTTGGGGAGAAAAAGCAGGAAAAAAATACCATTCAGTTTCCAAGCACTGTCTGCTCTCAGTTTCTTGTGTTATGAAACACAATTCCCAAATGTTCCTGGTTTTTACTTATGGACTCTTTTTATTTGAGTATAAGTTGAAGGGGCAGATAATTTGTCATATTGATCTAAAGTCTGAGATAGGTTTTCATTTTCATACCAAAAAAATTTTGTTTTTTTTAATATGCTACAATTTCATGTAAATTTGGATGATTTGTATTTTGGATTGATGAGTTTGACCACAGTGAAGTGACACACTTATGTTTGTCGTGATATCCTAAGAGAAATTGGGTGCCTCAAGAAGCAGAGGAGGTGGCTTCTACAGCGGAACCTGGAGCCAGCGCATGACGGTCAGGTTGTGCCAAGCTCTCAGGACAGGAGCGGAGGGTCGGGTGAAGAACAGTCCTGGGACCCTGCAGTGTTCTTGGTGTGGGTTAGATTGCGGCCTGTGGTTGAAGCAGAGCTCCACTGTGACCACGGGGCCTCTGTGACCGTGGGGCAAGGCTCAGATGGATCAATCCTTTTATGTTCTGTTGACTCCTAGAAGAGTGGCTGTGTATTTGGGCGTCTTCTTAGCTGTAAGTAATGTTAGACTTAGGCTTGACGTGAACACATTTGCTTCTCTCTGGAGTCACGCTCTTGCTGTCCAGGTCTATGCACAGGGTGAGGCTTGGAGGTGGGAAGGGTTTGTCTTGTCCTCCCAAGTTGCCCCTGTGTAAGGCAGAGCGAAGTGAGGGCATAAAGAGAACTCTGGCAGCTCTGGATTATGCCTTTAATATTGTATTGGTACTTCTGTTTCTTATCTTAAAAACCAGCATCAGTAGTAGGCCTTCTGGAAAGGTGTCTGTCTTGCGTTTATTGGTTAAATGGAGGTAGTGGCCTGCTGGGCTCTGGCTACTGTCCTCTACTTGGCGCTGTGGGCATGCAGCTGCTGTTGACATCAGGCCCCTTCTCCTGTGGCTGCTCTGCTGGGGAAGCTGCCTCTGTCTCTCTCACTTGGTTAAAGTCGTCTGCATGTGACTAAATGGACCAGATAGTAAGAATGCCAGTGGGTAGGCAAGAGCCAGCAATGCCACAGCAAGGTTTTTATTCAGCGCTTTGTGGAAAGTATGCGGAATTCACAGAGGAGCTCAAAAGCCCATGTTTAGCAAGTGGGATAGCAGTTCATAATAGGAGCAGCAACCTTGGAGGTGGGTTTACCGAGGCACTGGACAAGCAGCGTGGAGACAGAAAGTTCCCTCGGCATTCAGGGAGTGGGGTTGGTGGTTGGAAACTGTAGTTTGGATCAGCTCCTGACACAGCCTCTCCTCACCCTCTGTTCCTTTTTCACCCTATTTTCCTTGCTTGTCCCCCCACCACACCCCTTGACATTCTTGTTATTGGCAGTGTTGACAAATGTAACACCTCTGCTGGGTGAGATGGCAGAGTGGAGGCCTGACTGTGAGCAGTGGGTGGTGCACACTTGCCTTTCCAAAGCCATCCTCCAGCCAGCAGGTCACTCACCTTCCCCAGGTTGACACTTTTTAAATATTAGTTAGTTTTTAAGATCCTAAAGCATGAGGTCCGTGAGTGCAGTCCTGCTGTCTTTCTCATTCCTGTCTCTCTCCATTGCTTTAAGAGTTGTTCCTGGCATGCAGTAAACACTTGTTTAATGGGTGAGTGTGTATACTGATGGTGCATATTCATGGTAGGGAGTCTAAGAGGTGCTATAGAGGGTTCAGGGCCCTCCCTCTCCACCTCCTGGGCCCCTCCTTCCAGTTCAGGTTTTGGAAGTAACTACTGTTTCTTAGATATTTTTTCCAGAAATTTTGTATACATTTGTAATACTTGTCTTTTTTTCCCTCAGATACAAATGAGTTGTGACTATACGTGTTGTTCTATAACTTACGGGATTTTTATGCATTCTTATCCTGGTATCCTTCCATTTCAATAGTTCATTCTCTTTTTTAAAGTATGATGCAGGCCAACCTCAAAGATATTGTAAGTTTGGTTCCACACCACCACAATCAAGCAAATATTGCAATAAAGCAAGTCATGAAAATTTTTTGGTTTCCCAGAGCACATAAAAACTATGTTCGTACTATACTGTAGTCTAAGTGTGCAGTAGCATTATGTCTTAAAAAACAGTGTACATACCTTAATTTGAAAATACTTTATTGCTTAAAAATGCTAACTATCATCTGAGCCTTCAGTGAATTGTAATCTTTTTGCTGGTGGGGTGTCTTGTAAAAGATGCAGTATCTGCGAAGCTCAGTAAAACGAGATGTGCCTGTACTGTTGAGAAAAGGGAACGTAAACTGAGTGTATAACTCAGTGAATTATCACAAATGAACATGGCCTGTAATCACAGAATCAAGAATCAGAACATTCCTAGCGCCCCGGCCCTACATTCTGAAAAAAAGCTGTGTGTTTAAAAATGGGTTCCTCCTTCTGTTTTCTGGGTGCTGCCTTACTGATCTGATGCATGTGTTCCCAGTGGCTCATTGCAGCTTGTATGTGTGTCTGTGCCCAAGGCCTCATCCCCTTTCCACACGACCTGTTCTCAGTCTGGCTGCCCTCCCCCTCTCTCCATACTCTCCCTGACATTTCTGGTGTAGCTGGAGGCCACATCCTTTGTCACAGCCTGTCCTCAGCTCCCCAGTGGGGAGGGGATGAGCAGATCATGTGCTCTGTGTCCTTGGTAAGTTCTGGAACCCTCCTGAGCCTCAGTTTCCTCACTGGTGAAACAAGTGAGCCACCAACTCCTTTGAGAGTTTGTTTTATGATTACGTGAGATGATACATGGAAACAAATAGCGAATTTCCACGTGTTTCTTGAGGTGGTCTTAAATTTCGCAGAGTATGAGTGAGTCCATTTTTCCATAGATGATACTGATAGTCTCTTCTTAAATTTGATTTCCCTGAAATTCGAGCCAGTTATTGAAGCACAGTGTGATGTATACACTATAATAGACTGATAGGAACAACCTTTCCTCATCCACAGTGCTGCAAACTCCTGCCCATCCAGCCCCCGGGGAGCGGGGTCTTCGGGATACAAAATGGGCCGTGTGATACCATCTGACCTCAATTTAATGGCCGACAGCTCACAGCCAGAAAATGAAAAGGAAGCTTCAGGTGGAGACAGCCCAAAGGTAAATGTTTTTATAGCCTTGAAACAGAACCGGGGGGCTGTGATGTAGCCAGGTGTCCTCACTTCGTTGTGTGCATGTCTAGTAACATCAGCACCAGGGCCTTTTGAGAAGTGCACAGCTGAACAGATGTGGTCTGGTTGTGGGGTCACTGTAGACCATGTTCTTAGTGTTGGGGTCTTGTAAATGCATTCTTTCCGTCATTCAGCACTGGGCTCTCCCCAGTGGCGGCTGTGGGCCAAACTGCTGAGAGCGGAGCAGACACTGGAGTACATGAGAACCTCTTGGTCCTCATGGGATGACCTGCATTGTGTCCCAGGAAACCTTTCCTGGAGTTTAGTTCTGCTGTCCCAAATGCTGAAGGTTGTGCACGCAAAGGTGGTTGAACGCACATGTGCACACACACACACCCCCCCCCTTAAGGGGCGCATTAGTGCCCTTCTTGGACAGTAGTTGTTGATGGTCCACACTGTGACCTTGCATACTTTTATTCTTTGACCCAGTAATTCCCCTTCTAGGACTTTGTCTAAAGGAAATGGATGAAAGTCTCAAACAAAAGTTTATAAAACAAAATTGAAAGCAACCTAAGTGCTCCACAAGGGAAGAATGATTAAATAAGGGAATATTATGCAACGTATTTACTGATATGGATATGCTCTGAATTTAATGCTAAGTGAAAAAAGAGAACAAAACTATGCATGGTATTACTTTACATATTTATAAAAAGTGATATATTCACGCTGTAGAACATGGTACAGCCATGGGAATGACTAAGTCATAGCCATGCACCATCTGCCAACAGCAGCTAGGAGCCTTGCACACAGGGTGGTGGGCAAGGGGCACAGGCACAAAGGGGCACCTGCTGTAGGAGTCCACCTTTGTCCATTTTCCTGTTTAAAATCAGGCAAAACTAAATTGTATTGTTTCAGAATGCATTCCTAGATGGTAAAACTTTTAATAAATCATAGCAAGATTGTGATTACTGTAAAATGTCAGGAATAATGGTGGCCTCTCTGGGAGGTATAGGCTGTGGGCCAGTGGGGCATATAGGAGCTTCTGGGATATAGGCTGTATTCTCTTGACCCAGTGTTGACTGTAGTGATGTTTACTTTACAAAAATTCGTTTTCTTCTGATGCAGGTGTATTAGGGGCTTTCCTGGCTGTGTTATGTTTTTCAATAAAAAAAAGTTTTTAGAAATGTATAGAAGAAAGAGAACAAGGATACACATCAAACAGCACAAGCCCAATGAGGAAGGCTTTGTGCTCTGCCCTTGGCACAGACTCCAGCTCAGCCACTCCACCGGCCCTTTCCTGTAACTCAGAGTGTGCCCACTCGTGGGGCAAACAGGGCAGAGCCTGGCCTACGTGCTTGGGGAATATTAGCTCTTTAAAAGTGAGGTGCTGGGATTGTAGGTGATTCAGCATTTCTATACAGAGCATGTACTCATCACAGGCTGTCAGGACTAAGCATGACCTGTGCAGTTGAAGCCTGCGTTCTTTTCCTCGGCACGTCTGCCTTTCTTCCTTATCCATCCATCAATACTCTGCCTGTCTATTGTTTTACTCCAATTTGTATCTTTCCCTGAACAGTTTCTAAATTGTTCATTTTTAAACCTCATGTGAGGAGTATCACCTTAAGTGTATTCTTCTGCAGTTTACTATTTGCATTTGACGTTACCTTTTGCCCCTTTTGCCATTCATCCGTGTTGATACATGCATTTCTCAGTTCACAACCAGAGGTACACCCCCTAGTGGGCTTTGTGCACATGTGTGTGGGGTTCTGAGGCATCACAATGGAAGGAGCCACTGGTGGCCTTGAGTGTGCTGGGACCAGGGGTGCTAGCCTGCTTTGGTGTGCACAGCAGCCCTGCACACTAGAACAGTACCTACCCAAGGGCCCCAGACCCTGGTGTAGGAACCCTGCGTGTGGCTGGTGCTCACCTCTGGATGCGGTTTCCTTCTGTGAGGAGCTCCTCTGTTGGTGGACATTGGTGGTTCTGGGTGATCATCACTTTGACCCTGCAGTGCGGAGCACTCTTGCCCGTCTCCTTGTACACACAAGGACCCCACCAGGGCCTGGGAGGGAGCGTCAACTCACTCCATCACTCACCATCACTGGCCTTGCCCAACTCTTCAGTTTACCGTTAGATCCATGGGACGGGCCTCTGGCCGTGGTTTAATGAGTGTTGCCCTGGACTCTGCTGAGGTCAAACAACTTTGCTCTTTTTCTTAGTTTTTTCAACTTTGCCATTGGATTTTCTCCTTACGTGGTTTTTAATACTCTTTTTCACACCACTATACGTTTTTTCCTCTTTCTTCGTCCAGATTTTCCAAATGCTCTCCAGTCAAATTATACTTAAGGTAAATTAAGCATTATCACAGGAATACTTAAAAACACTAAGAATCCTGAATTTTAGTAAAAATTTTGATAACTTCAGTGCTCTCTTTTTTTTTTAACTTAAATACAGGATGATTCAAAGCCACCTTATTCCTATGCACAATTAATCGTACAAGCAATTACGATGGCTCCTGATAAACAACTCACCCTAAATGGAATTTATACGCACATCACTAAAAATTATCCGTACTACAGGACTGCGGACAAGGGCTGGCAGGTAAATACATTTCAGTTTCTTGTTAAGTATTTCTATTACATGTCTTACAGATGCTGATTGACAACTGAGAGGAAAATAAGCTGCTGTTTTATTTAACTTGGGGACAGGTTAAGAAGGTAGAATGAGATGAGTGGGATTCTCTTTTGCTAAGAGATGAACAAGTGTTAGAGGCCTGCTGTTGCTAGGCTTGTTCTGACCTCCTTAGTGCAAAGCGGAAGGAATAGTGGTTCTAGAAGAAAATCTCAATCTGCATTTTTTACTGTCGTGGTCTCCATGGAGGGAAGGCATGACTTGGGGTGAGATTTTCCTCTTCAACCAGTGCTGTTCATTTCATACATCTGAAATGAAGGAGAGTTAAAAACCCATCCCATCCTTTACTTCAGCATTTTTCTATCTTCCTTCTCTACATCTGATGATGTACGTAGAGTTTTGAAGCTTGCACACAGCTTTCTTCAAAAGCCATCTTCTCCAGTTGGCCACTGTATAAAATAGATGAGTGCAGTGCTGCCCTGTTTAAACTGGGGAGCCTTCCAAGCTGTCCAGCTGGGCTTCAGCCCGTCCCAGACTGTCTAGGGAACCTGTGCCTCCTCAGGGGACACTTTTAAATCAGTGCATAATATTTCCATTGTTTAACTTTTTCATTTAGTTTAATTTTTAAACCTTTACACTGTGTAGATTTTTTCTTGTTCTGTGTATCTGTGTTATACGTGGCCATTTACTGGATGTCCAGTAGAGCCTCACTAATTCAGACAGTACATAAAAGGCAAGTTTGAAATATTAAGTATTGAAAGCATAACAAATGAGAGGAGAAATGTACATTTATAAATTTTGAATTCATTAAGTAATCAGGAATGGCTACAGGATTCCTTTGAGGCTTAGTGAGTAAAATGAAAAATGTTTCTGTTGAACTATAACCATTATCAATTGTTATGGGGGTGGGGGTAAAAACTTTTTTCTTCTACCTGCAGATGTATAAACATGTAATAAAAACAGTCTACCAATCACATCCTGAATATTTCCTTTGTAAGGAGTCTTTAGTCGCATAAGAGTCTTTAGTTGTGGAAGGTACAGAATAAGACCCAGCCTCCCTCCTGGCCTGGAATGTGTGCACCTGCCCTGCCTACCTCCCTGTTCACAGCAAGGCAGCATTTCTTAGTTGGCACTGAGGAAGATGCTGGATTTGAAGAGAACTTCCAAAACCAGCTGTCAGGCAGGTCTCTTAACACTTTGTACAATAAATCCTAGTGGTATTTACCATATTTTAATTTATAACAGTGAGGTTGTGCTTCAAAGAAAATGTAAAACAAAAGAAGCAGAACCGAATGATACGGTCTCAAGAGTATTCTATTGAGGAGTGCGGTGGAATTAAGTGCAGCTCAGTGTGTGCAGAATTCTGATGATTTGAAATGCCACTTCACTGGGCGTTATGGGAATGAGTATTTCTGAAAAGCCTGGCGACTTTCAGTGGCCTGCTTCCCTTCTGGTCACATTTCCTGTGTTTGCCAACATCCGTTTATTTGAGAACTGCTTCCAGGCACCTCAAGGCTTTCTTGCTAAAGAAGTCTGGAGGCTGAAGGCCAGCCTTAGGGACCACCTCCATCTAGCCTCGTCTGCTGGAGAGTTAGGTCAGCAGGGGCCACGGTCACAGAGAGCAACACTCAGACATGACCCCCACGTGCACTGATTTCTCCTGGCTCCTGGAAGTGACTTCATAGCCCACTCAGCAGAGAGTTACAGATGTAACTGCAAGTCAAGCACACCTCTCTGTTGAACTATCATTAACACTTGATTTTATTGAAACATCTTCCTTTCTGTTTAGATCAGGATCCATAAGAGTGACTCTGCACCTCTTGCTCGCCTAAGGCCACTCCTGGGACATTTCACACCTGGCTGCAGCTTTTTTAGCGGGAAAGGGATTTCCTGCTCCAGCCCTCCCTTTAATTTATGGACATGCACTCTCGATTTCTTTCTGTCCTCAGCAGTCCTTAGCTGTCCCCAGTACTGACCTGCATGTCCCCTTTTTCTGTCATGAGATTCTCTGAGCTGCGCTTCCCAAAGTGACTGCATTTAATGTCTCTGTGTGTGTAAGACCTTATTCCCATTTCCTCAGAGAGGAAAAAAAAACTCTTAACTAGAACAGCCCTTTCTTTTTTTTTTTTTTTTTTAAATTTATTTCTCCTTCTTCTCCCAAAGCCCCCCAGTACATAGTTGTATATTCTAGTTGTAGGTCCTTCTAGTTGTGGCATGTGGGATGCCGCCTCAGCATGACCTGACAAGCAGTGCCATATCCGTGCCCAGGACCCAAACCAGCGAAACCCCAGGCCACCAAAGCAGAGCGTGTAAACTTAACCACTTGGCCGGCCCCCAAAACAGCCTGTGAGGTGGGAGAGGCCGCAGCAGTGGGGCAGGGCTGCTCAGAGCACGAGGCCCAGGGTGCCTGAGCCTGGGCTCTGCATCAGGTCCCAGGAGCACGTGTGTTGACTCCCACCACACCTTTTCTAAGCACTAGATGGAAGTCTGCAGCTGCCCTTCAGGCTGACTTCTGGTGATTTACACTATTTCCCCATGGCAGAGCTTTTGATTAATCCAGAGGAAATTCTAGGATAAAACAAGAGGATCTGAGTAGCCCTATCTGGAAAGATGGCCTGTTTCTTTCCTTTGGTTGTATATTTATGCTCAAATGTCTTCTTTTCTTATGATTTATCATTTATAATTTTACCTAGCCCAGAAGTGAGGTATTTATTCTGACTGTGAAAAGTTTGAGAATTCTGGGGCTCTCGGCCTCTGGGAGGACCAGAGCTGGTTTCTTAATATAGAGGAGGTGCTCTCCACCCACCATGGGTTCTACTTCTGGAAGATACTTGACATGTTTCCTTCTCATAAATTTCTTTACAAGTCCTTACTCTGCAAAATATACACTCTAGAGTGCTCAGTGCTGAGTGGGATTAACAGACAGAGCAGGGAGGACAGCACAGAACAAGCACACGTGACCAGCTTTGCATCTTTCCCCTTCCTCAGCTGAGGGGGCTGAGCTGCAGTCAGTCTTCAGGGACGGGAGAGGGGAGGGGCTGGTGCTTAGCAATGGCAGATTCTGGAACACAGCCACAATTGGGGGAATTAGGGGAAAGAGAAAGTACTCAGTATTGTAGATTCTTTTTTTCATATTTAGTTTTAAAGAGTAATAACCCATCTTTTCTGTGAATGCTTTATAATTTTTGAATCACTGGAGTCTGAATCACTGTGGTTTTAATATATGTAGCTAGATTTGATCAAATTACAAAGGCCTTAAATTACCTTAGAAATATAGTTACTTCATTCTGTTTGTGTCTGCATTAACTGTCTCTTATTACTTCCTCATATTTTCTAGAGTCTTGTTGGCTGGAAAATCAAAGATGACCATTTATAAATTGGGCCTCTCTGCCCTTGGGACTGTCGCTAGAGTGTAGAAGAGGTTAGACCCAATTATGATGGCACAGACTGGGTTCTGTTACGTTTTCAGAACAGAAAACAGCAATCCCTGATCTAAGAACTTTACAGCTTGTCGGTGGTGTAAGGGGTAATGGAACAGCAACGTTGCTGACCCTGCTCTTGTCCCTCTTTATCAGTGGGTAGAAATCCTAGTGCCCTGTCCCCTGAAACAGCACTTCCTGCCTCCAGATTCCCACTGTGCTGACTTCCCTTTTTCCTCCTGACAACATGTACACGAACCTACTCTACCTCAGTCTTCACGCAGGGACTCGTCACCTCCCTCCTCAGACATTGTCTTGCACTGCGGTTTCGTGGTCACTCCTGAGCTCCTGCAGGGTAGCCAGGGCCCCACAGCACAGTGAGAGGAGATCTTGACCCTCATGTGCCATTGTAAGGCTTGCCTTGCTCACAGTGGGAGTGTCCTGTGGTGTCATTGTCTGACTTTGCTTTTCGCAGTCCCCAGTGTTGGAGTCTACCTTCTACTTCGAACTTAAAAAGGTCTGAGTGCAGTTGGAGGAGGATTGTCTTCTCTTTCTTGGACGGGGCACCAATAACAGGCAAATTTGATTTTCTGGAGGAATTGATAGAACGGTATTGGTTGGTTATCAGCCAAACTCTATGATGAAACATCATAACAAGTATCTGTGGTTGTTAAAACATTCTAAATCTCGTATAATACACTTATTTATAAATAATTTCACAAACCACAGACACAAGCTAGCCAGCCCCTTCATGTTGCCAATGAAGTAACTGACGTCCACAGGTGTTAACAGTGCTGATTGTGGCCTGTGACTGGTGTGGCACTTGAACAGGCACTTGGATTGGGTGTAAAGTAGTATTTGACCTGGTTTGATTTCTGAGCTACCTCTGGCAATTCAGCGTTTCTGACTGTGGCTAGCAGTTCTATTAGAAGGTTAATTTGGGAACTTAGAAATGATTTTTGGATAGCCCAAAATTTCACCTTGAGTTATTACCATTTTGAAACTTTAATAGTTTAATTTATGAATTCTAAATTTAAACATTAACTTAAGTGCATGAAATAATCTGAACACATGACTTTTATCTAGCTTTTCCTGACCTCTCGGGGGGGGTGTCTCAGGATCAGGTTTGCCCCCAACAGTTATTCAGGTTGCAGTGGGGAGCTTTCCTCAAATCGTCTATAAACCCTGAACTGAGCTTTTTGTAATAGAAGAATGGAGTGGGAGTTGAGAGAGAAATTTTCTCTGTGTGCCTAGACATTATTGTGAGGATCAAATAAAAATTGTTCATAGAAGTATTTTGCAAAGTGCTCTATTACCAGAAGATAATGTCAGTATTACTTCTCAATCTTTGGCTCATTTTTCTGTTTCGTTGGTTTGCAAAATACTTTATACTGGATTAATTTGTTTAAATGGCCATGACCGATTCTGTAAGCTAATTCTGTAAGCTAATTCTGTGTTCAAAAAAGTATTTTAAAGGATTGGCTTATCTTGACTCTGTTAATCTCCAAACAGGGAGAGGTCGAATGACCAGTGATAGTCTTTGGTTTCCTACCTGGAAAAAGGATGGAAGTTGACATTTTTCCTGTTGGAAATAGCCTCTTTCCCTGTGGTGTGGATTTCTCACCCCTCCCCTTCCCCAGTTCCCTTCCTGGCCCCCTGGAACCTCCTCCCATGTTATTCACAGTGCCTCTGTCCTTGTGTCCTTTCCTCCATAGAAGCCATGTGGACACCTCTGGTTCCCTCCTGTGGAGGGGTCACAGCCCAAGAGCTCCTCCACCCCCCGGGGGAGAGGGCTGCTTCCTTCCAGCCAGCGCAGTGGTCCTTTTAAACCTCTGCCCTCTGCAGGAGCCCAACACCTAGGTTTCTGCTTTGCAGGGCACTAAAACTGGGGCACATTTTTATTTCTCAGCAAAGAAATATATGAATTCTACGTATTTTTTTATGTTTCATAGAATTCAATTCGCCACAATCTCTCTCTGAATCGTTATTTCATCAAAGTACCACGTTCCCAGGAAGAACCAGGCAAAGGCTCATTCTGGAGGATAGATCCTGCCTCTGAAAGCAAATTAATAGAGCAGGCTTTTAGGAAAAGACGGCCTAGGGGCGTGCCTTGCTTTAGAACCCCTCTGGGACCGCTCTCATCTAGGTAAGGAAAAAAGACAAACAAAAAGACCTCACTTAATGGTCAGTCAATTTACCTGTGATGTATTGGTAAATTTTCCTTTTGAAAATGAAGAAACTACCAAATGCATTATGATTAAATGTTGGGATGGGGATTTGAAAAAAGTCTTGGATGCTACACATGTATTTTTGTTTCTAGTGGTCCAAAACAATTCAGGTTGTTTTTGAAGTTTTACTTTAAACTCCATTCCCATGTGCCAACTGTTACTTTGTTGAACTCGTTGCATATTGCTAATATGATGAGTCGGCAATGTAACACTACCACATTGATGAAGAGTGTTTTTTCCTTTCCCTTCACATTTGAAAAGTTTTTTAAAGCTAACTTTTAGCTGCTTAAATTCAAGATTGATTTATACAATATTAATTGCCTGATTTTAAAATTACACATTTTTAGCTTCATTAATAGAAACTGTTTTTAAACAAAAAAAAGAAATGACCGTAACATAAGTCTTAAGCCTCACCGACTCGCACACTGCCAGCTCCTGCTGCCTGACTGTGGACGGGAGCTACTTAGAGAGGGCAGCCAGTCCAGCTCCGTGGCTGTGCGGCCTGCGCTGGGCGTGGAGCAGCGGTGCCCCGGCGCATGGTGGCTTTGTCACAGCTGAGCAAATCTTGCTGCCTGTCCGTCTCAGGTGACAGGCATTCTCTGAGAAAATAAGACTTATGGAACTGTAGTTGGTTGGCAGAAGACAAATTACACCCCTTTTTGCAAAATACGCTTATTAAAACGACGAAGCAGCTTTGTGAGTGCTTTACCTGTGTAAATCCACTGTCTTCTTTTTGGTAACACAGAAGTGCCCCAGCCTCTCCCAATCACGCTGGAGTGCTGTCTGCTCACTCCAGTGGCGCCCAGACCCCTGAGAGCCTGTCGAGGGAAGGTTCACCGGCCCCCCTGGAGCCCGAGCCTGGCGCCTCACAGCCCAAACTGGCCGTCATCCAGGAGGCTCGGTTTGCCCAGAGCGCACCAGGTGAGACGCCAGAGGGCGAGTGTGTGGGCGAGGGGCAGTCAGGGGCGCGTGAGCGGGGCATGTCAGAAACGAAACAGCAAGAGGCCTTGTTCCTTCATACCTTGTACCTGAAATTTCTGCTCAGTACCTGAGTGTTTAGGCTCTGAAAAAGTAATAGCACTGTGAGTGTTTAAGAAAATCAGTGAACATTCTTTTATGTGACAGTGTGTAGATACCTGAAATAATTTAGAATTAACATGTTTTTCATTTAGTTGCTTTATCATTGAAAAATCCATGACAAAGACTTCTCCCAAAAAGAGATAAGATAAATTAGGTAAACTAGACATTGATTGGCGGCAAAAATAATGTCCATTTAATGAATAGATGAGCATTTCACAGTTTACTTATAAAGTCACAATGTGGAATAAAAATGTGTGCCCTGGGGAGTTTCTTTTAAAAATATGTAGTGTGAAAATGTATCCAAAGTAATTCTATTATGGCTCCTAGTTGGTTGGCAAAATGTGCTTTTTGATATGTTGGAATTCCTGGCCATGCTAGCCAACCCCCCAGCCCCGCCCTGTCTGTAGCTCCTGCCATTGGTGTGTCTTCCTTACTCCAAGCCCAAACGAAAAAGAGTAGAGGTTGGTTGGCAGAGCTTTTAAAGGCCCAACTCTGTCTCTGAACTTTCCAGGTCTCTTGCACCCATTGTAAGATGAACACTGATCCCAGGGGAGTGTGGCCCCCTCGTTTGAGCCTCCGTGGGCAGCTTGTTCCCATATCCTATGTTGACGTTTTCTTTTTCATGAGGAAAGAACTGTGGGAAGAGGTACTGTAAGAGATCTGATGGAGCAGATGGCATTTTTAGCCTTTTACAAATTAAATAGCCCCATTAAAATACATTTCTCTCATCATGAGTGACTTTACCATTACAAGGTGGCAGGGGACTGTGTCCTGTTTTGTTAAACTAGCCTGTGTGTGGTTGGTGAGTGTTTGTAGCTATTTGGTTCAGGGAAACTCTGGTTGGAGGAACATGGGACTCGAGGCCTCATCTCTGCTCCCCTCCTCCTCATCCTTGGCAGGCTCACCTCTGTCTAGTCAGCCCGTTTTAATCGCTGTGCAACGGCAGCTGCCTCCGACGATCAAGCCCGTCACCTACGCTGTTGCCGCCCCTGTGACCACCTCGACCTCCCAGCAGCCCGTCGTGCAGACAGTTCACGTCGTCCACCAGATCCCAGCAGTGTCTGTCACCAGCGTGGGCGGACTGGCCCCAGCAAACACATACACTGTTGCCGGGCAGACCGTGGTCACTCAGGCAGCTGTGCTGGCCCCTCCTAAGGCAGAGCCGCAAGAGAATGGAGATCACAGAGAAGTAAAAGGTGAGCAGCGGAAGCACGTGCTTCAGGCGGCTTTTCAAGCTCTTAGAAACCCAGCAGACCTGTTCATCCCAACTCCTCCCTAACATGTTACTTAGCCTGGTTTTAGAGCAGATCTGTTAGCCACCCGATTATTTTATTTTAAACTGGTGAGATTTCTATAAGCTTTCTAGTAATATTAGGTGGTGTCATTTCTTCTTTTTTACTTTTTTTTTAATTTCAGTGAAAGTAGAACCTATTCCTGCGATTAGCCATGCCACGCTAGGTGCTGCTAGCCGGATCATTCAGACATCACAGGCCACCCCTGTCCAGACGGTCACCATAGTGCAGCAGGCACCTCTAGGTCAGCACCAGCTACCCATAAAAACTGTCACGCAGAACGGGACTCATGTGGTGCCCATCCCCGCCGCCATCCACGGCCAGGTGAACAGTGGTAAGCAGTGTCCTCACGGGTAACTGGGCGCTCGTACTGAGAGCCAAGATCCTTGGCTCCCCTTTTTATGAAGGGTGGTGTTCAGTGTTTTGATTCCGATTGTTACAATTTTAATTTTTTGTCTGAGGGAATGTTTGTATTTCTCAGCTGTAGGACACCGAGGAAGCGGTTGTGGGAATGGGCTCTCCTGGGGTTCCCATTAGAGGAGCCATCTGGAAAGAGATAAGCATTTCTAAATACCTAGAGAGAGACAAATATCCCTGCCTTTTATAGATACCTGGGTGTGGCCTAAAGCAACCTGAGGTTTGGGTGGTGGAACCTGATTTCTGAAATGTCCCCTAGGAATGGTGTCACAGCTGACCCATCCCGTGACGGTGCTCTCCCCTGGGAGTGGTGGTGTGCTCGAGAGTGTGTCTGACGGTGGAAGGAGAGAAAACTGCTCTTCCGTGCTCTTCGCTCTGAAAGTCCTTTGGAGCCCTGTGCACGTAGCTCTCCACGAATGTTCTGATGTAGATGAGTAGAGAAGATGGAACAGATTGAGGGAGCTTGGCTTTTAGACAAACGGAGAGAACCTCCCCTGCCCAGCCCTGTGAAGCAGTGTGAGCAGGAGAGTCCTGGCTGGCTGTGCAGTCAGCTCGAGTGTGTGGGTCCTGGGGCTGGCATCCAGTCGTTTTAGCTGAGGGCCCCCGCCCCGGCCTCTGGAGTGATGTTGTCCGCATGTGTGGGCCATCGCGATGCTGCATTGGCCCAATCCCAGGACCTGCAGGGCCTCAAGCAGTAAAATCAGAAGCTGCCGGCCAAAACCAGCTCTCTGGCATCAATCCTTTCTTTGAAAGAGGGTAGGGAACAGAAGACTTCATTCCGTTGACTTCCAAATCCTCACTGAGCTGTTTAAGGAATGGGGGTCCGCAAGACGTGCATTACCTCGTGTGATTCAGGCTCCCACCCTGCCACTCCCCAAATTTAATGGCAGAGCAAGATTTGGATCTTCTTTTGGGGAAGACTAACTTCCTGAGAGTTTTTTGTTTTTAAGTAATAGCTAACACACACCAACGTGTGGCTAAATTGAGAAATTTGCAGTCAGTTGCCCATTTAAAATGCTTTGCTCCTCAAGCCCTGTGTCTCCTAAGCAAGTACGAGTAGTGTGGGCCTTGTTCTCCTTTTGTGTCTGAACCACTTCGTCATCGTGGATGGTCTTGATACGTGCGGCTGGAAGCAGGTGGCACTGAGAGATGGATGGTCCGTTTCTGGTCAGTGTCGTTCTTCCTAGTCTTAAGCCATGGTGTGGGCCAGTGATTCCCAGATGTCATATGCCTCAGAATCACTCGAGGGCTCCCTCTCAGAATCCCTGACTGAGCAGGTCTGGCCTGGGGCCCAAGAATGTGCATTTCTGACACATTCCAGGTAGTCTGAGAACCGCTGGTGCAGGTCAGGGGCCTTTTATGTCTACCTGTCTGTTGGAAAGAGTTTGAAAAAATCTGTATCCCTTTCACATGTTTAAGTTGCTATCTGAAATTTTTCATGATAAATTTAATAAACAAGGGATTAAATTTTCCCCTACTAAAAATATTGATGTCTTACAATTAAAAAAAAAACAAAACTTTTACTTCATTCTTTTGCACGTGCTACTGGCTCTGAATACTGCCCTAGTTTGATGCTCTTACCCACGTATAAACACGCAGACAGACAGGCTGTCCTGCCGTTGTAGTTCAGTCTCACACATTCCTACCTCCTGCTGATTTCATACTAATGCCATAGACTTATTCTTGGAAGTCTTACTGAGCATGTTTTTTTCTGCAACAAAAAAAATTAAAATATTACAGATTTAATTGTTTGTGACTATAAGGATTGATTTATCAGTTGTTGTTACTACAGAATTGAGCAAAAGCAAAAATGTAATATTAAAAATCAAATATTAAAATTGTATTAAAGATGCATTTCCTAATATTTCAGGGCTTTAAAGAAAACCACACAAATTATCTGTTATCCTTGAAATCACTGCTGTAGGCATTACTGCGTCAGCCCTCAGACCTTGTTCCTACCTAGAAGGGAGACTGGAAGAAATGCTGAAAGTCCTAGTTGCAGTCACCTTTTAGCAAAAACTATTTTAAATTATCTGTTAGTGGGAAATTTGATTGGTTTTCCTTCAACTTGATTGCAGTCTTTTACTTAGAAATCACTTGGCTTGGAAAAGGATTTATTATCCAGTCAGTGATAACTCAGGGTCACGTCACTGGCCATTGCAGCTGTTCCAGTGTTCCGTGCTCTATCCCAGTGTTTTCATCCCCAAAGGCAGCGCCCAGCTGAGTGGGTGAGAGAGGCTGTGGAGAAAGAGGAGGAGATGGCAGGTGAGCTTTAAGAAAGATGACGTGGCAAGTGGAGGCTCTGGACATGGTTTTCCTGGAAACAGTGTCAGGTGGTGCTGGGATGCTGCATGACCTAACTCTGACCTCCGTCACCCTTGAAAGTCACTCTTGAGAAAGGAAAGCAGTACCTGTTATATTAATGAACTTTGAAAATCAGAAGCTTTAATATTTTTGTTGTAAATTGAAAATATCAGACATTCTGGAAATTAACTCACAGCCAGTCTTATTCCGTTTTTCTCCATCTCCTCCCCATCCAGATCCAGACATAACGTTACTTCATCTGTTAATATTTCAGCATGCACCTCTAGGAGATAAGGACTCTCTTTTAATATATAAGCACAGTACCATTATTATCATACCATACCATATTAATTTTTAAAATTAACAATAATTCTTTTTTTTTTTTTTTTTTTTTTGAGGAAGATTAGCCCTGAGCTAATATCTGCTGCCAATCCTCCTCTTTTTGCTGAGGAAGACTGTGCATCTGTGCCCATCTTCCTCTACTTTGTATGTGGGACGCCTGCCACAGCATGGCTTGCCAAGTGGTGCCATGTCCACACCCGGGATCCAAACCGGTGAACCCTGGGCTGCCAAAGCGGAACATGTGCACTTAACCGCTGCCCCACCAGGCCAGCCCCAACAATAATTCTTTTATACTCACTGTCTCCTTAGGGTTCAAATAGTTTGTTCTGCTTTTTTCTTTTTTTTGTGTGTGTGTGGTGAAATCTACATAAAGGTTACTATTTTAAAATAGTACAATCTAGTGGCATTAAGTACATTCACAATGTTTTGAAAAACATCACCTCTAACTAGTTCAAAAGCATTCTCATCACCCCAAAAGGAAGCCTCGTACCTGTTAGCAGTCACTCCCCACTTACCCTAACCCGTTAACGACTGATCTGCTTTCTGTCTCAGTGGATTTAGCTATACGGCGTATTTCCTATAAACGGAATTATATGATATATATGTGGCCTTTCATATCTACCCTCTTTTGCTTAGCATTATGTTTCAAGGTTCATCCATGTTGTAGTGTGTCAGTACATCATTTCTTTTCATGGCTGAATATGTTTCCTTTTTTTCCCCCCGTGCTTTATCTCCCCAAATCTCCCCTGTACATAGTTGTGTATCTTAGTTGTGGGTCCTTCTAGTTGTGGCATGTGGGACGCCGCCTCAACATGGCCTGATGAGCAGTGCCATGTCCATGCCCAGGATCCGAACTGGCAAAACCCTGGGCCGCTGCAGCAGAGCACTCAAACTTAACCACTTGGCTACGGGGCCGGCCCCTATGTTTCCGTTTTGTTTATTCATTCATTAATTGGTTGATGGACATTCGGGTTGTTTGTGCTTTCTGGCTATTGTGAATAGTGCTGCTGTGAACATTCGTGTACAAGTATTTGTTCGAGTCTTTGTTTTCATTTCTTTTAGGTATATACCTAGAAATGAAATTGCTGAGTCATATGGTAATTCAGTGTTTAATTTATTGAGGAACCACTGAACTGTTTTCCACAGTGGCTGCAACATTTTATGTTCCCACCAATGATCTATGAGAGTTCTGAGTTATCCACATCCTCACCTACACTTATTTTCCAGGTTTTTTTTGATCGTGGCCATCTTAATGGGTGTGAAATGATAACTTACTCTGGTTTTGATTTTCATTTCCCTCATGACTAATAGTGTTGAATGTTTTTTTCATGTGTATATTGGCTATTTGTGTATCTTCTTTGAAGAAATGTCTATTTAAGTCCTTTGTCTATTTTTTAATTAGGTCATTTGTCTTTTTGTTGTTGAGTTGTAGGAACTCTTTATATATTCTGGATACTGGGTCCTGATCAGATACATGATTTGTAAATATTTTCTCCCATTCAGTAGGTTTGTCTTTTCACTTTCTTGATAGTGTCTTTAATTCACAAAAATTTTTAACTTTGATGAAGTTCAGTTTACCTGTTTTCCCTTTTGTTTTTTATGCTTTGGTGTCATGTCTAAGAATCCATTGCCAAACCTGAAGTCATGAAGACTTACCCCTATGTTTCTTTTACTAAGAGTTTTAGAGTTTTAGCTCTTATGTTTAGGTCTTTGATCCATTTTGAGTTAATTGTTGTGTATAATGTGATGTCAGGGCCTGACTTCGTCCTTTTGCGTGTGGATATCCAATTATCCTGCCACCATGTGTTGAGGAGACTGTTCTTTCCACATTGAATGGTCTTGGCATCTTTGTTGGAAACCACTTGACCTCTGTTGGATTTATTTCTCTCAGTTCTGTTTCATTGATCTTCACGTCTGTTCTTATACCAAAACCGCACTATTTTGATTACTGTAGCTTTGTAGGAAGTTTTGATTCCAAGAAGTGTGAGTCCTCCAACTATGTTCCTCTTTTTAAAGATTGTTTTGGCTATTCTGTATACCTTGCAACTCCATGTGACTTTTAGAATCAGCTTTCCCGTTTCTGCAAAAAGGCGTTTGGGGCTTTGGTAGAGGTCGCAGCCGTCTGTGGGCCCCGTCTTAACCGTGTGAAGTCTCCTGACCTGTGAGCGTGGGATGTCTTCCTGTTTACTTAGGTCTTCGTTAAATTCTTTCAACACTGCTTTATAGTTTTCACTATATAGATCTTGAAGCATTTAAGTCTTGGTCATATTT